GGACTAGTTGGCAAGAGCAAGAGCTTTGGATTTGACTAGGATTGACTTCCAGCACTGCCATCTCCCAGCTGAATGACAGCTGAGATCTCAGTTCCCCATATGGACACCAGATATAATAACACCCACCTCATAAAGATGTTGTTGTGAGAAAGGAGATGATGGATAATTAATAGCAGTTTTCTTTTCGATCTCTTTCTTGCCTGCTTAAACTTGATTACAAAGACTAATTTATTACAATTTTTATAAAGATGATGACTAGCATTTATGGTTTTATTATGGAGGTTAACCAATCATTCATTGTAAATATGACTCAGAAATTGGAAAGTCCCTTTCATGAAGTTTTTTCGTTGTGAGAAATGAAAGATTTCTAGGTTTGCTATGATTTCAAAGGCGCTTGGTCTACTCCAGTTAAATAGCTTCTTCTGCTAAACGTATTCATTCTCTTCAGATTATTATATGCTTCATAGTATATATTTTCTCTTTAAATGTGTTTCTCAGAAGCAAAGTTCAATGGGATATCCTGCAAAAAAGAAAAACTAAGAGTTCAATGACTAAATAAGTTTGGGAAATGCTGCATATCATATTCCTTTTCTGGCATCTCACAGTTACATTAGCAAAACTAAAGACACTGAGATCCATGACTTTTTTTTTTTTTTTTTAGCAATGCTAGTAATGACCTGAGGAAAGAGTATTCACAGAACATTTTTGAAAATGTAGTCATTAATAATATAGAAAGCATTTTTATTGCCAAAACTCTTACTGAATGCTGCTGTACAAACATCATGGTGAAAACTTGGGTCTGAATCCTTCATTCCCAAAAGTCATGCTGGCTGTGGTCCAGCTCTGCAGAACTGCAGGTTAGGATAGAGGGAGTCTTCAGCAAGGCTGCCATTCAGTGGAGCCTGGGTGACCTCCAGGTTCTGTAATCCGTGTTACTTCCTCTAGTCTCTCCCCAGATAGTTTTATTCTTTCCCATGGTTTTTGTCTCCATCTCTATTCTAATCCACAGCTCTAGCTGAGATTTCTTTTCTAAGGTTCAACTTGAATATGCATTTTGATAATCTAGACATACCCCAAATTCTCCATGTCTCATACTGAATAAATATCGGCTTTGCCCTTCTTCCTCTCACCCAATCTCACTCTGGTTTCCTATTTGCATTTTGACTGCTCTTCACTTATCCTTGAGATCAGGAATCTGGAATCTCCCTTCCTCCATTGCTTCCTTGTATTTCATTTCCATCATCCTCCATGTTTCCAGTAATTTTATTATGACATAATAAAATTAGACTCTCCCTATTTTTCTTTCTGTCAATGTCTAAGTTCAGGTTCTCAGATTTATTGCTTAAAGGGTACAAAAGTATCCTCTTCATCTTCCTCTAACTTACCTTCCTAAGTCCAGCTTCCTACTAGCCATAGTGAGCTGTTTTCTTTTTTTTTTTTTTCTTGCAGTACTAGTGGTTGAACCCAGGGGTAATTCTCCACTGAACTAATTCCCTATCCTTATTAATTTTTATTTTTGAAACAGGGCCTCTCTAAGTTGCCCAGCCTGACCTCAAACTTCTGATCTTCTTGCCTCATTCTCTCCAGTAAGTGATATTAGAGGTGTGTGCCCCTGGCTAATAGTGACCTCTTTAAAATCAAAGTTGGTCATACTGATCCCTTACTTACATGGATTCCTGTTGCCTTCAGCTAGGTTGCAGAACTGCAGCTTGATGTGCAAAGCCTATCACATCACTTCTTGTAGCTATTTTTCAGTGACTTCGACATGCATTTCATATACAGCCATAATAACCTACTTGCAGGTCCCATAAGTGTACCATATACTCTTGTAGCTATTCCTCTAGGTGAAATCATCTCCTTTCTTTTCTTTAAGACTCATTTTCAAGGTTTATCACAAGTTCCGTGTCTCTCTATGTTTCTCTGACTTGCTTAGGCTGTCTTGGATGGCCATGTTCTTATAGGAATGTATGCATCTCTATTACCTATTTCAAATGGACTTTCAGAATTCAAATTAAAATTTGCTTTAATAAAATATATAGGGCTGGGGATGTGACTCAGTGGTTGAGCGCCCCAAGTGCTGCTGGGTTCAATTGCTGGCACCTAAATAAATAAACAAATAAATAAATATATTATCTCATTAGTTTTTTTCTTCAGCATCTATCTTTTGTAATTATAGTCAAGATAAAGGCCAATGATATATTACAATGCTTTATTTTCTGAGTTTTGTAGCATTGATGATTATGAGTAATCTAAAACCAATATTAATTTCACCCGACTTAAATATAGATAGTATGAATTTCCAATTCATCTTTTCCACATATTGCTGGTTTATTTCCCCCTCTTTTAGAGTCTGGTTGCATTTAAAGAATTTATAGCACACTGTTTACCATGCACTAAATGAAAGCTATCTGTCAGTATTTCTGATAGTAAGACTCTTATTTGGTTAAGTTTATAACTTTTTGTCTCCTGAAGGTTATAAGCAAATAATAGATCTTTCAGTTTCATCATTCACTTCATTCATTTCACTAAGGAAAAAATAAAAATTGTAGTAGTTACATATTAGGCACAAATATAAATAAGCCTATGCAGGGTTTATACTCTATTAAGATTGAACAATGTATATATTGCTTACAATTTTAAAAGAGAAGTCCTGTGTGGTGTAGCATGTTTTTAATCCCAGCAATTTGGGAAACTGAGGCAGGTGGACTGCAAGTCGAGATCAGCCTCAGCAACTTTGGGAGACTCTGTCTCAAAATTTAAAACAAACAAACAAACAAATAGATAGGACTGGGGAAGTAGTTCAGTGATTCAAACCAGTACAAAAAAAAAAAAAAAAAAAAAAAAAAAAAATAAAAAGGTCTGGGAAAATATAAAAAAGATAAAAAAAAAAAAAAAAAAAAAAAAAAAAAAGATTAAATCTTTTAAAGTCTTTTAAAAAGTCTATAAGTCTTTTCAAGTCTTTTAAAAAGTATATCTGCATGATTTCATTTTTTGTTTTTTAATGGTACCAGGGATTGAACCACTGAGCCACATCCCCAGTCCTTTTTATTTTTTATTTTGAGACAGGTTCTCACTAAGTTGCTTAGGGCCTTGCTAAATTGCTGAGGATGAACTTGAATTTGGGATCCCCTTGCCTCAGCCTCCTGTTTGCTAGAATTATAGATGTGTGCCACCAAGCCAGGTTTACAGTGCATGATTCTTAAGCTGCAATGCATTCTGCTTTAGCTAGTTCTTTTGTGTTAGAATTTCATTTAGTTTTTCATTTATTCAACATTTATTTATTTATTTTGTGATATCAGGAAGCAAACCCAGGGCCTTGTATCTTCTGGGAAAGTGCTCTAACACTAAGCTATATCTCTGGTTCAACACACTTCCTAAGTACTGTAGTGTGCTCAGAACTGTGCCAGACATAAGAGAAAACCATGACCAAAATCAGACCCACAGATCTTACAGACTAGTGGGGAAACGACCATAGTGGAAGCCTCAGATAAATAGACTTAAATTATAATTCTGAATGTTGTTACCAAGTATACTTAAAGCATCCTGCTTGGGTTTATAGAAACAAAATTTAGTTTTGGGGGAAAACTGGGGAAACAGAGATTTGAAAGAATTGTGGGTGTAAAGTAATATGAGTTCATTTGGAGCCCAGTGCCTGTGGCTGTCATAGGCCACAGGATAGGAGGAAGCCCACTATGTCTGTGGAACCAGGAAGACTGAGAGAAGGGAGCAGAGAAAGGAGTGGACAGGAAATCTGGAGAGTTTGATCAGGGAAGGAAAAGTCTGGCTCTTGTGGGTCTCCTTGAAGACTTAGGAGCAGTGAATTTATTCTAAGGGCCTCTGAAGTAGAGCAGGACTCAGATTGTGCTTGCACCTCAAAGTCTTCATCGGATCATATGGAAGTAAACTATTTCAATGACTTTCCCAAACCCTGGCAGGAGGGATAATAGTTGGATCTGGGATAGTAGCTGGCTGTAGAAATAGACATGAGTAGACTGAATTGAGAAAGTTTAGGAGGTATAGAGGTGGGGAAGGGAGGTGTCAAGCAGGCTTGCTTCTATTGTGCTTTCTTGAGTGAGTTTCGAACACCATTAAGAGCCAAGTTCAGGGCTCCATTTAATGAAGGCTTGGGCTGTTGAATTTGAGTAATTTACATATTTACGCTATACAAAGCATAAGTAAGATAGGAGTTTTAAAAATATGAAACATGAATCCTGTTTGTGAGATTATAATATCATTGGAAAAATAAGGCACAAAGACAGGATATATTTAAATGACATATACATATAGACCTTCATTTCTTAAGTACTATTTAAGGTCCATAATGCAGCTCCTTACCTAGTATTCTTTTCCGTTAATATTGTATTTATTCATTTGAAGTCAATTATTTAATATTCAAATATTAATATAATAATGAAATAAATTTATTTATTAAAGCTGTGGGGAATATAATTATGTGTGTGTGTGTATATATCTATATATATATATACACAGAGATTTTATTATTTAGGAAGAGATAAGAATCTATATGAAAAAATTTTATTGTATTTGAATATAAATTTTCATTTGTGTACAGCATGTTTTGTTAGAGTCTTAATTGATGATAGTTAAAAGGAGATGCCAGGAAGCCATGGTATTATTTGTAATACTCAGGAAGCTGTTTAGCAGTTCCCTGACAGGTTTCTCTTCAAAAGCAGGCACTGTGCATGGTATAAACAATGTAATGGGCTCTGAGATGATTCATGGTCAGGGATTTGAACAGCAGACAGGATTTGTACAAGTGGAGTGTAAGCAAGAGAACTTTCTAAGTGGAGGGTCAAAAGAATTCAGGATTTGGAAGGTGCAGTCAAAGTGGATGCCAGAAGGATTAGTTAGCAGATAGGATAGGAAGGGTAGGTCAACATTAGGTAGTGTTTAAATAACAGTGTTAAAAACTTTTGATATAAGGCTTTTAACTGTTTTTGAGTGAAACAGGAAGATATTTTGTCAATTCTTTTTTGCAGGCTCCCGTCTTCGACAGGAAGATTTTCCACCTCGCATTGTTGAACACCCTTCTGACCTAATTGTCTCAAAAGGAGAACCTGCAACTCTGAACTGTAAAGCTGAAGGCCGCCCCACACCCACTATTGAATGGTACAAAGGCGGGGAGAGAGTGGAAACAGACAAAGATGACCCTCGCTCACACCGAATGTTGCTGCCAAGTGGATCTTTATTTTTCTTACGTATAGTACATGGACGAAAAAGTAGGCCTGATGAAGGGGTCTACGTGTGTGTGGCAAGGAATTACCTTGGAGAGGCTGTGAGCCACAATGCATCGCTGGAGGTGGCTAGTAAGTAAAATGGGCTTTCTGTGTTTGGCAGGGGGAGTGGCCAAGTAATGATAATGGCAGTGAAAAATAGAGCATGTGCAATAAATAGGCTTTACTTGAGGACCCTCTGTACTTTTATTTCTGGATGAAACCTAGTTTTCAAATTGTCTTTATTTCTTATCCTAGATAGTTATTCTAGCTAGACTGAGGTTTGTGCATGTAGTTGTTGAACCTTTTGACTTTGGATTTGGAACTCTTTTCTATTAACAATTTCACTGAATTTGTCTTATTCCCCTCCTTTGTTGCTTCTAAATATAGTGAATATCATAATGTGACTGCAAATAGAATAGTATAGGATTTTAAAAAGTTGTCTTCATTGGAAGAATTACTTTCAACTTGTAATATAAGGTATGGTTTTACACAATATCTAATTCTTGGAAGTATATTATACTTCTCTTAATGCTAAATCTAGAAAAGATTTATAGGCTTTATACTTGGCTTCTATAGTGAAGTGTCAAAAATGGTGCATGTAATCCTCTAGTAGGTTATGCTAGAATATGTTGACTAATGATTAAATTGTTTTTAGAGTCTAAATGTTCATTTTATTTTAATAAGATTTGGACTTCTGTTATTTTCTATCCATATTCAAGAGGTAGCCAAAACATTTCATTTCCATGAAAAATCCTGGTGTACATCTATGACAAAAATTGAGAATTTCCAGGCTGGGGTTGTGGCTCACTGATAGAGTGCTTGCCTAGCATGCATGAGGCACTGGGTTTGATCCCTAGCACCACATAAAAATAAACAAATAAAATAAAGGTATTGTGTTCATCTACAACTAAAAAAAAATCTTTAAAAAAATTGAGAATTTCTGCATAAGGATTGGAGAGACAGATGAAATTAAGCTTAGTTCCCTTAACCACATATATAACTGTATTCACAACTATGCATATATTCTATATGTTTTTCCAGATAAGTAATATTTTCATATGACTTATGTTTAACATTTTAATAATATAATCATTTTCATAGTCTCTAGCATTTTAATATAACTTGAATAAATAGAACCATAAATAATTATAAAATTGTAGACACAGAAAAGAATTTAGAGATAATTATTCCAGCTCAATTGTATTATTAGTGTGGAATCAGATCCAGAGTGCTTAAATGATTTGATCATCTTCACAAAGTTATGTAGTGCTTACATTGAGACAGAATGTCAAAAGTGTATGCTATGAACATAAAATATAATTAGAATAAAACAAAGTAACATTTTAAAGCATAGCAAAACTAATCATTCATATTTTTTCACTGTTTACTGGAAACCAGTATTTGCATTTCACTGTCTTATTGTATTGCCTTGACTCTCCCTGAAGTCTTAGAATGAACTCAGCAAGGTGTATGAACACTATCATCACAACAAAAAGATATTTTGCTTTTATTTTTATTTTTGTGAAGCCCAACTTTAAATGTAGGTTTTCAAACAAAAGAAGTATAAGTGTTCAACTTATTTTTAAATAATATCTGTTTGATTCATCTTTCAATGTTAAGATTCTGGCACCTTTCTAACTTTTGGTCTATTTAAGCTTAATAATTCTTTGCAGGGATAAAATTAATTTAGCACTTGAAAACAAATTTAGAGAATCAGAAAAGCTAATACAAAACACGTAGGCCAGCTCCAATTTCTGGTAGGTAGGAAACTGAAAACCAGAGGGAAAACCAAAATGATTGTTCTCTGGAATCATAATTTCTAATAAATGAAGTGTGTATCAACAGGAGTAGCAAAAAGTCATCTGGTGTTTCTGGATTACTTTTTGCTCTACTCACATTCTTATCATTGTCTGGATTTTAAGAAGGAAGTTATAGGTTTGAACAGGTCTAAATGCTCACTTTCTAGATCTTCCTTTTTCAAAACACCTTTAGTTTCACTCCAGTGATCAAGATGCCCTTCATGCATTGGGATTTAGACAGCCTTCTTTCCTGATCTGGCTTTTGTGTAGGTATTTTAAAGATACTATTAGTTTCCAGTTAAGTCCTTTCTAAGGTAGGCATTCCATTACCTTGAGAAGCCATTATGTGAAAAGCTGTTCATCCCCCTCAACAAATGTACAATCAGAATTGAAACCAGACACAAGATCATTATATCACTTCTACCAGCAAAATATTCAAAGACAGAGCCCCTTCATGCATAATTCACAAATTTTAGCATGATGTTCATCATTATGTCCTCAAAATGTTTTCCAGCTCTAGAGGAAAAAAATATTCTAATTTACTGATTAAACTTTTTTTTTTTCTTTTTAAAGACAAGGTGTTGATTAATTGCTTAGGGCCTTGCTAAATATCTGAGGCTGGCCTTGAATTTATGATCTTCTTACCTCAGCTTCCCAAATTGCTGAGATTATATGTGTGTGTCTCCACACTCAGCTAATTTACTGAATAAAATTTAATATAAAAACTTTAAAAATATTTGAACAGTAACAATCACTATATCTATAAAAGGAGAAAGCATAGATACTATAAATTTGTCAAGTAAAATTTAGTTAATTAGGGTAGTTTGATAACAAATATTCTTATTAAAGATAATAATAATTTGAGACCCTAAAAAACTTAAGGAGCATTTGTTTTGAATAATTTTTATGCTAGGTTAATTACAATGAATATAAAAATATTTTATTTGAATGAGACATGATTTGAAAATAAGTTTATGGGAAAAATAAATTACTCAGCCATTTAAAAGGATTTTGTGTCTTTAAAGTTTAGAAACTATTATTTAGTAAATGTATGCTTCAGTTTGCTACAAAAAGGTATGTAGTAATTGAATTCACTGTATTTCAGTTGTTTATTTATTTGTGGTGCTAGAGACTGAACCCTGGGTTGCTCTATCTCTGAACCCCATCCACAACCCTTTGTACTTTTGATTTTGAGAAGGGTCTTGCTTAGTTGCCCTGAGTGACCTTGAACTTGTGATCTTTCTGCCTAAATCTGAGAATGGAGGCATGAGCCACCATGCCTAGCTCAGTTATTTATTTTAAGAAACAAGTTCTGCTCATTCACCATCTTTAGAATGGTTTTGTCCTAAATCCAAAATTAGCCATTTGTATGCTTTGTTAATAAATACGATGGAAAGAAGGGGGAAGCATGGGTCATATTTCTATAAGATAAACCTGTAAAGTTTGGTTACAGTTTGGGTTTTATTTTTTCTTGGAGAAAAATATTTTTTTTTAATATTTCCTTAGTTTAGGTACCAGAAGTTCACTGAGTACTATTCTTACTTTCCCCAAGGCTCAGACACAGGAAGACAAAGATTGCATCTAATTTTGTAGTGACGCTGTAGCCCCAAGTGATAGCATTAACAAAAGTGTCTTGAGGCAACGCAGGTTTCACAGTGCAGTTGTTGGTAATGCTTTTAAAAACATTTATCAGTGTTTTACTTGTGCTTAAACCAAGTTTTACAGCTGTAACAACAACTGGCTTGCTTGGTTCCTCATAATTGTCAGTCTCTCAAACTTTGAAAAAAAAAAAGATTATGGAATGCCATTTAAAACTCTTATTTCTATAGAGAAATGATAATATTCTTGCATATTATGTCTGTAGAGTTTATTTAAATGGGAACAATGCAGCTAGGGATTATATTTATTGGTTACCTTTAGTTTATTTTTATTTTCATTTACATTACATTTATAACCAGGGTTGACCTTCTTGCAGAGAATATTGGCTCGCATTTTGGTGCTTATTCTTACCATGTGGTAAAAACTGTGTTCCTTGTTCTTAAACATTGAATTGTGTTGCAGGTAAACTTATTTCACATTATTATAAAGTTTAAAAACATGACTGTTAAGATATGTTCAGAAACCTTTATTTCTAATATCTATACCTGGAAATTTTGGTTTGGGTTTTATAAAGGAAAAGAATCTCTCTAATCACAAATGTGTTTTTTTAAAATTATTTCTTCATTATTAGTTCTCTTTGCAAATGAAGAATGACATATTTTGATAGGGATATTTAATTATGTAATTTAGAAGACATTGCTGTTTAAAAGATTTAGGAAAACTCACTCTGGGGACTGGGGTTGTAGCTCAGTGGCTGAGTGCTTGCCTAGTATGCATAAGGCACTGGGTTCAATCCTCAGCACCACATAAAAAAATAATTCACTATGTGTCTAATTCAGTTTCAAACTTAGCTTTCCTTAAGGATCATGCAAAGCAGTTTTTTTTTTAATTAGAGCATTATTGTTATACATAAAAAGCAATATTCTTGCTTATTTTGGATTATATATGTTGGAGAGTCTATGAAATGCTTATGAAAATATCTTATTGATTTATTATCCTACATTGAATATCACCAATTATTAAGTTTATGTTATGCCTGGCACAGAATAATAGCACAGTTCTTTGATATAGCTTGTATTTAATAAGTAATTTGATCTTAGATAATTACATTGAATTTTAAGGAAAATTTATTTGAACCCTGACCTTCAAGCTTTCCATTGTAGACTGTGGCTCTCTAAGTCATCTGCTAAGCAGTGATACAGTCAACATATGGCTATTTGTATCCTAGTTAAGCTGTTTTCTCCTGAGAAAGAGAAATTCCCTTCAGAATAGGCAGACATCTGCTGGCCTTCTATGTAGCAAAACCATAGAAGAACTGTATTTCCTGGGGAAAAAAAATCATTTTTGTTAATTAATCAAAGATTGTAGTTCTAGAATTTATTTACTGCAGTGCTCTTTTTTTTTTTTTTAGATCCTCAGTACTTTGAAGTAAAATGTTGTCTTTTGAAGGAATATTCTCTATTGCTTTCAATACATGATGACCTTTTTGTTGTTATAAAATGATGGTTCTCAAAGTGTTTTAGAATTTGTATTGTCCAATTTTCCTCACTTAGGTAAAATAAGAAAGTGAAATGAATATGTATGGTGAATACACACATTTACCTGGGTACAATACAATGTATTTTCAAAATCTAGTCCAGGGTAGATGGAAACTTTCCTCCTGGGAATGAAATGGTTCAGATGAGATGAGGT